GACCAGAGTCCCCAGGCCTTTATTGGGAGCAAGATACATGTAGATCTCCATCTCCCTGGTCAGTGTGTTCAGAAGAGGAGGTGGAGTTTGGTATCTTCGGGTTTAGCGAGGACAGAGAATCTTCTCCTGGTTGGTCTACACCTGGACATGAACCCAGACCAGACTCCCCCGTCCCTGATTTTACTCATCCACTAACAGGGCCCCTCTATACCCACTCGGCTCTAAGGTCCACATCCCCTTTGTCGCTGTCTTCAGATGAAGGATCTGCTCAGTCTCTGCCTTTTCTGCTAGAAGACCGAGCAGAAACTCCAGGCTCTACAGCATCTCAGAATGAATGCAAACTGGACTCGCCTATTCCCCAGTTCACACCTTACCAGGCTGAGCTCCGTCACAGTAAGGTTGCTTCTTCATCTTTGGAGTCGTTGACATCAGATAAAGACACGGACACTGATTTGTGTACGACTTGGCTTTTTGATGACCGAGCCACGTCTCCTGGTTCCAGGACATCCAAAGAGGAGTTTGAACATCTCTCACCTGATTCTCCAGTTCCTTCCTTTCCTCTGGCACTAGAAGAATCCATCATCTACCTCCCAGCTTCCAGGTCCACTTCAACTCAGTCGTTGTATTCAGATCCAGAGATGGATAAATCTTTCTCAGAGGTCATAGAATATCACGCCTCATCTCCTCAAAGTTCAGACAGACCATTTTCTCCAGATTCTCCTATTCCAGACTTTTCACAGAGATTATTGGTCCCATTTCATGAGCTCATTTCCAACAGGTCTTTTTCACCAGAATCAGATATTTCTGAAGTCGAATATGCGCCTTTAATTTCACAGATATTTGCTTTAGAGATCAGAGCAGATTCAGAACATTCTGAAACCGAGCTCGGGTTACTATCTCCTGACTCGCCTTTACCCACGTACCCAATGGCCTTCGTGGCTGATTCAAGGTTCAGATACAGGTCCACCTCTACTGACTCTGAGCTCTCAGATCAGGAACTGGAGACAGAGTTTTGCCTAACTGGGCTTTTTGAGGACCGAGGACCTTCTCCTTGTTCAAGGACCTCCAGGGAGGAGCTCAGACCACTTTCTCCAGAATCACCAGTTCCTGAGTTTAGACCACATGACTCAGCAATGCTTAACATGGAGCTCAGGTCTATATCACCTGAATCGGTGTCTTCAGATCCAGAAACGTCATCATATCCAACCTGGAAAGACTGGTTCTACAGCAGACCTTCTTCTCCAGAATCTTTATCATCAACCAGGCTTCCTCCTGATTCCCCTTTGCCCGACCACCATCGGCCAACATCTGAACTACCTAGACCTGCTTTTGGAAGTCGGTCTTCATCCCCTGAGTCGGCCTGTTCAGATGTTGAATTCATCGTCTTAAGTTTAGGATCATTAATGTACAACAGACCATCTTCCCCAGGATCAGGAGCATCTGGAGAAGATGGTCTGTCTCCAGACTCACCAATATCCGACTACAAAGCAGCAGTGCGAGAAAACATCATCATAAATGTTGGGTATAGATCAACTTCCCCTGAGTCTTTAGAGTCAGACGTTGAATATGCTTTAGGAGAGCTTCTTCTAACGATGGGGTTTGGTGATGAAGATAGACCAGAGTCTCCTTGGTCACAGGAGTCACAGATCCAGGACATGTCATCTTCATCTTCACATGAGGGCATTGTCCAATACCAAGCCATGTCACCTGATGCACTGAAGTCACTCAGAGACATTAGAGGTGGATCTCAAGAATCTTTTGGGGACAGCAGGAGACTGTCACCAGATTCAATGCTTCCTTGTTTTACTAAGAAATTAGGAGAGACCAAGGTACCTGAGAGGAACCCTGAGGCCTCATCCTCAGAATCTCTGTGCTCAGATACAGACCCTGACAGAAGAAGACTGTCACTACAGCCAGGAAGATCCGACGATGAGTTTCCGCTACCTGAGTTCACAGAGGCTGCAACGAGCCATCAATTAGCTAGATCTGCAGCTGAAGAACCACATCCACCGGGCCAGAGGACAGACACACCAGAGTCAGTGGACCTGCTAGCAGATCCCAGCGGGGGGGTGGTCTGTAAACCATCAGTGGAGCCTCCCTCACCTGAGCCATTAGCCGCCATGGCAGCTAAATACAGCCTCGTCTACGGCGCTGAGCGATGGCGTCTGGTCTCTCAGGTTCATGATCCTCAGTATGCAGGAGAAACCTGCAGGAGTAAAACAGCTTTCATAAAGTTTCATGGTAGAACAGATGGATATGAAAGGACTGAGATTATTGATGATGGGGAAAGACCTGACCAGAACCGGGAGGATAAAGGTCAGCATACAGTTTCTCCTGGTTTCATGGACAGAACTCATACTAAAGCAGAAACACCTCCACCAATGATGGAGTCTGGTTCATCATCAGGACCAGCTCCTTACAGACAGTCAAAGTATGCCTTTGAACCAGCTGAGGCCCAATCATGGTCATGTGGCTCAGCACCAGGATCTGACCAAGAGAGGGTTCATCTAGAATTGCTGTTTCCAAGTTTATCCAAGGCGGAAACTAGTTCCCCAGTTAGCGGGTTCAGCCCCCCCCCAGTGCCAGAACAGGTCCGGCGTCTCAGATCCACACCATCATCTCCTGGAACTCAACATTCAGATTTTGGTTTTATGCAACTGAATTCCGAGTCAGATTTAGCTGAATTCAGGTCATCGTCTCCAGAATGGGGTCTGGTCTGGTCCGAGGATCAGGAGGAGAGTCAGAGGCCTCTGTCCTCCCAGTCTGTGCCCGAGTTCAGACAAGTGTCCTTCCAGTTGGCCATATCCATGGCTGAGCAAAGGGCGTCATCTCCAGAATCCCTTCCAGAGGATCTTCAGAACATGTCGCTCCCTCCAGACTCCCCCATCCCTCAGTTTACAGCAGCATTGCAGGTTTACCCCATGAACTGTCGGAGCTCGTGCTCATTCTCTGAATCGGAGTCCAGTGATCCCGCTGAATTCCTCATCATGTCGGATGGGGACACCAACCGACCCTCCTCACCGGACTCTGTGTCATCCATCAGTCAGTTCAGTCGGCTGGTGCACGATTCCCCCGTGCCTGAGTTCATGAGAATATTATCTGGGTATTTTATGGATGCTGCTCCCTGTGAGCGGTCTTCCTCACCACAGTCTTTGTCGTCAGACTCTGAGTTTGTGGCCTTACCCGTTGAGTGTTGGGTTGATGATAAACCCAGACCTGTTAGCCCAGAAAGCCTCCAGTCTGAAAAGGATTTTAGTTTTGATGACAGATTATCAGCCTTCAGCTCCAACCTTCAGCCCGACTGGTTGATGCCTTCCCCTGGGTCAGAACAGTCTTCATCGTTCCCTCAGACCAAACCAGCAGCCTGGTCTCCGTCATTCTTTAAATCTAGTCATGAAAGGTCATCTGAAGAACCTGATTGGCCAAACGTTCCAGAAATCTGGACGCACGAGAAAGAAAATCTTCCTAGATCAGAAGCTGATGAAGATATGAGAAAAGACTCGTCTCCATCATTGGTTAAAGATGTGAAAGCAGAGGAAGCAGAGGTCCGGGCCGGTAGAGGGGAAGAATGGCAGAGCAAAGCAGTTCCTGACAGGGTAAGACTGAGAGCATGATAAGGAAAAACTAACAGAAAGACTTGATCTTTAACCCCGGGTGTATCCTGCTAACCTCCATTCCTGGAGTTGATAGAAATCCTACTAATCCTCTGATGTCCTCCAGCTGTTGTGTGGCGTGATGGGAAAGCTTGCCGACACATGTGGACCTTGGTCTTTTTGCAGAGTTTAAAGTGTGCCGTGCCACTAATCCGCTCAGACGGTGTTAGAATCTGCTTCTGATTCATCATTTCACCAACAGGTTCCCATCCAAATCCCGCCGTTTCCTGCCTCAGCAGGAAGTGGCTTTAAACCAGGTCTGCTCTTCTTTGATGACCAGCCAGTCGCTCCACTTCCCATCCTGCTGCCTGATCAGGCTTCCTATAAAACACACCGGACTGTCACTCCGGTTCTACTGGTCTGTGACGAAGCCTCACGCTCGCAGCCCCGTGTTTCTGGAGAGTTCCCACCGTGGGAACACGTCCAGCCCAGGGAAGCCCTTCCACCCACCTCAGACCAGCCTTTGGAACCAGACGGGGAAGCTGCAGTATTTTCCGGCACTGTGTCTCTAGTTGTTTGCAGCTTCAGATCTGTGGGTTCCCTCAGGAGAAGGTCTGAAGCTGCTGAGGCCTTTCCTTTAGGCTCCAGGAGAGTCCTCTCTGGACTGGAGAGAACCGCCTCAAACGTCATTGAGAGGAAACCCAGGGAGTCTCCACATCCCTCTGATTCAGATGCAGAGTTTTTTGACTGCCGACAAGACTTTTCAGAACCAGAAGAGGAGTTAAGCTATCATATTTCTGAGCCTCCTTCACCGAGGCCAATGGGGAGTCCAGATCCGGGTCTCCTGGATGAGAGCAGCAGCCGGCCTCTCCTTCGCCGCCTCTCCTCTGGCAGTCAAAGTCTGGTGGAATTCGCTTATGACTCTGATGTTTCAGGGGCGGGTGCTGCTGAGGGTGGCCTCCCCATGTGTGAGGAGCTGCCATCTAGAGGTCAGGCAGGATATTACGATGAAGATGACTTCCTGGGAATGGTAAGAGGATGAGCTAAAGGCTGTACCTGACTCACCTGGCTTTTGGCAGATTGCGGTGGTGATGCTTGAAACTTTTGGATTTGGATTAAAAGCACCTTAGATTGATTTTATGACACTGATTGGAGTTTGTTTTTGCATGAGAGCCTGAACCGGGAAGGAAGAAGCAAATAAAGCGATTTACTGCAGACCAACCTTCCCCTGATGCCTGCATGTGGTTTTCCTACTTCTTTTCTTCACCTTCTCTCCATCTCACCTTCATGTTCGGCCCCCCCTAAGATATGATTCCCCCCGCGCCCCCCCATGGGAAGGGAAGGTGAAGAAACGTGTGGCGTGTTGTAGCTGCAGAGTTCACCATGCTGGCTGTTTGCTGTCTCCAGGAGATAGCCGAGGAGCTAGGAGCGCTGTCCTCTGATAGCTCAGAGGAGGAGGTGCTGACCACCAGGGTGGTCCGACGCAGAATCATCATCCAGGTAAAAGCAAGCATGATGATGATGATGATGATGATGAAGCAGTTGGCAGGCCTTCATTAAACATAAGAACCAAAATCCCTCCAGAAGGTAGAAAAGTCCTGGTCCAGTTCAGTCATGGTCAAACGCTAAGCTAACTGCTACATGTTTCAGGTTAGCTAAACAGAGAGCTATTCTACTTCTGTTTGATCATATTCTTTAACAGCACCCTCTGCTGGCTGAGAAATGCAGCCTACGCCAATATCACCCAAAACAATCATTGAATATGTGAAACGCAAATAATTTGTACGTTTTTTTATTCTAGACAAAAATTATTAAACATGATTTTAACTTGATCCACCGTTTCGCTTAAATTTTATAAGTTTGAATATTTAGTCGGTCTTTCAGCAGGATCTCTGAGGTAATGACCCGGTTTTGGGCCGATGACCCGGTTCTGGGTCGATGACCCGGTAATGAACCGGTTTTGGGCCAATGACCCAGTAATGACCCGTTTCTGGGTCGATGACCCGGTAATGACCCGGTTTTGGGTCGATGACCCGGTAATGACCCGGTTCTGGGTCGATGACCCGGTAATGACCCGTTTCTGGGCCAATGACCCAGTAATGACCCGGTTCTGGGTCAATGACCCGGTAATGACACGTTTCTGGGCCAATGACCCAATAATGACCCGGTTCTGGGTCGATGACCCGGTTCTGGGCCAATGACCCGGTTCTGGCTCAATGACCCAGTAATGACCCGGTTTTGGGCCGATGACTCGGTTCTGGGCCAATGACCCAGTAATGACCCAGTTCTGGGTCGATGACCCGGTAATGACCCGGTTTTGGGCCAATGACCCGGTAATGACCCGGTTCTGGGTCGATGACCCGGTTCTGGGCCAATGACCCGGTAATGACCCGGTTTTGGGCCAATGACCCAGTAATGACCCGGTTCTGGGTCGATGACCCGGTTCTGGGCCAATGACCCAGTAATGACCCGGTTTTGGGCCGATGACTCGGTTCTGGGTCGATGACCCGGTAATGACCCGGTTTTGGGACGATGACTCGGTTCTGGGTCGATGACCCGGTAATGACCCGGTTTTGGGCCAATGACCCAGTAATGAACCGGTTCTGGGTCGATGACCCAGTTCTGGGCCAATGACCCGGTAATGACCCGGTTTTGGGCCAATGACACAGTAATGACCCGGTTCTGGGCCGATGACCCGGTAATGACCCGGTTCTGGGCCAATGACCCGGTAATGACCCGGTTCTGGGCCGATGACCCAGTAATGACCCGGTTCTGGGCCAATGACCCGGTTCTGGGTCGATGACCCGGTTCTGGGCCAATGACCCGGTAATGACCCGGTTTTGGGTCGTTGACCCGGTTTTGGGCCAATGACCCAGTAATGACCCGGTTCTGGGCCGATGACCCGGTAATGACCCGGTTCCCCTCCGCCCCGGTCTCACCAGCAGAGCGTCCATGATGGCGTGCTGCTAACGGCGCCCCTCTGTGTTTCTGCAGGCCGACATCCTGCCAGACGTCCCCCCTCAGACGGTGACGGAGGAGAAGTTCACTGATGAAGACGGCAACATGGTGGTGAAGAAGGTGAGCGACCCCCCCCATCAGAGGGTCCAAACTCCGCCCCCGCCGTCCGGCGCTAACCGTTGACTCCTCCCCTCCAGATCACACGGAGGGTGATCCGGCAGTTTGTGTCTCCAGACTCAGAGACGCAGCAGGTGGAGGACTCTCAGCAGGAAGCGACCCGGATAGAGGAAGGAGACGCTGTGTCCAGGGTGGTGAAGAGGACGGTGGTCCACAGCGCCGGAGAGCAGACAGAGGTGCTGCCTCCCTCACCCCGTCCATCCTGTCCCTCACCCCCGTCCATCCTGTCTCTCACCCCGTCCATCCTGTCCCTCACCCCGTCCATCCTGTCCCTCACCCCCGTCCATCCTGTCCCTCACCCCGTCCATCCTGTCCCTCACCCCGTCCATCCTGTCCCTCACCCCGTCCATCCTGTCCCTCACCCCGTCCATCCTGTCCCTCACCCCGTCCATCCTGTCCCTCACCCCGTCCATCCTGTCCCTCACCCCCATTCATCCTGTCCCTCACCCCGTCCATCCTGTCCCTCACCCCGTCCATCTTGTCCCTCACCCCGTCCATCCTGTCCCTCACCCCGTCCATCCTGTCCCTCACCCCGTCCATCCTGTCCCTCACCCCGTCCATCCTGTCTCTCACCCCCATTCATCCTGTCCCTCACCCCGTCCATCCTGTCCCTCACCCCCATTCATCCTGTCCCTCACCCCGTCCATCCTGTCCCTCACCCCGTCCATCCTGTCCCTCACCCCGTCCATCCTGTCC